TCATGTATGGCCTGCTGTCAGCATTAGGGCGTTTCCTGCCCTTGTTCTTTATCCCTCAGCCATTTTTACCCCAAGATCTGTTTACTCCTTTTGGAAAGACTCATATCTTTTTGTATCAATCCATTACTTCCATTCTAGGTCAGGCACTCATTACTTATACCTTAGTTGATAAAATTGCTTCCTGACTAGGCTGCTAGCAGATTAGTTTTTATTTCCTCATAATAAAATCTTGCAGGTGCTTTAATTCTGTTGGTTGAAATTGAGACCTCCACAGTCCTCCATTTGGTATGCTTCATGATCCAGTTTCATTTTACAAATTTAGCATCAAAGGGCTAACGGCATTTACTTCTCAGCACTTAGCATGTGCTCAGCACTGTATTAGATTAGACATTTCATTGTGTGCCCCACCCCCCAACAGTCTGGTGAGTATTACCTATCGCGTTTCACAGGTAAGAAAGTTGAGGCTTAAGAAGTAGTGACTTGCCTAGATCCCATGTTACAGCAAATCATGTTGCAGTGTCAGTGCTTTTATGATCTACTGATTTTAGGCAAGTAAAGTGTGGCACTGTGTGTTAATGCGCCAGACTGCAAAGCCATTTGAACTGCAAGGTGGGCAGTTCAAGCTCACCAGCTGCTTCTCAGAAACCCTATACAGGGTTGCTATGGGTCAGAACTGACTCAACGGCACTTAACAACATACATTTTTTACATACTCCCAAGTATTTTCAATAACCTTATATGCATGTGAAAGTTGGATAGTAAATAAGGAAGACTGTAGAAGAATTGATGCTTTTGAGTTACGGTGTTGGAGGAGAATATTGAAAGTGCCATGGGCTGCCAAAAGAACCAATAGATCTGTGTTGGAAGAAGGGCAGCCAGAATGCTTCTTGGAGGCCAAGATGGCCAAATTTCGTCTCTCATACTTTGGACCTATTGTCAGGAGGGACCAGTCGCTGGAGAAGGATATCATGTTTGGTAAGAGTAAAAGAGGAAGACTCCCAGCGAGATGGATAGGCCAAGTGGTAGCATCAGTGGGCTTAAGCGTGGCAACAATAGTGAGGTTGGCCCAGGATCGGGCAACGTTTCGTTCTGCTGTGCATAATAAGGTCGCTATGAATTGGCGCCGACTCAATGGCACCGAACAACAACAACAACAAATTCCGCACGACCGGCATGATGTATTCATAAGTGTACAGTATCAATGTTTTTGCATGTATTGGCAATTTCAAGTTTGGCTCCCCGGTTCAATGGATTTGAGGTTAATCTTCTCTTTTAGAGCCTGTTGGTGCGGGGGATAGGTTCTTAGCAGTATATCCTCATCAGCCTACCCTCAAGTTTCTAAAGCAGCCCCTCCTTCCCTATTATGCAAACTGCTTTCTTCAGCGCAAGAAGAAACCATTTTTTTCTGCCCTGGAAACAGCTCTTCACAGGGTGGCCAGCCCCATCCTTGGAGGTCCATGAGTCTGAGCGCTCTGGGTGAGGTCGATATGCTGCATTCGGCCCCATCATCCACACACCGTGGGGTGGACGTTAGAGCTACAAATTCAGAGTGGTTGCATGCGTGTCCCTCACTTGGATGAAATGGGTCCGATGCCTACCTGGGGTCTCCACAGGGCTGGGGAAGTGTGCACCCACATCATCCTGCTGCTCAGTGTCATGGGACCTGAGTACATGTGTCCTTCGGTCCCTGCCTATCATGGTACCAGCTGTGCTTGGGCTGTGGCAGCTCTGTGTGCTCTGTCCACTGCCTGCCCTTTCTTCTGTCTGTGTCCAGTGAGATGTACTTGGGTACAGATTGGCTACAGTGAACTTCACTGCTTTCTGGCCTATGAGCTGCTTCAAAGCAAATACAGTTTCAGTTGCTTATTTTCCATTTACTGGAGTGCTGCCAAACTCAATCCATGACTTCTTGACCGTGGCTTATACTTTTATTATACATATATGATCAAAGTAATACTTTTTTTTGGGAAAGGACAGTCGCTGGGAAGAAGGGAAGAGTCTGTTCAGTTGCCTTTCCTTAGGTGACCATTTATTGTTTGCCTTTAAGTGTCCTTGAGTTGGTTCTGACTCATAGCGACCTATATAGGGTTTCCAAGGCCTTAAATCTTCAAGGGAGTAGAAAGCCTCATCTTTCTCCCATGGAGCTCGAACCGCAGACCTTGTGGTAGAGCCACTGCGCTTCTCTAGGTGACCACACCTACTTTAATTTTGAATTATATTTTCTACCCATTTCTTCTGAGAAGACAAAGTCATGCAGTGCCATTGTTGGTAGTCACTACCAACAATGGCACTGCATGACTTTGTCTTCTCAGAAGAAGTGGAATGGCTGGTAGTTTCAAACTGCCGACCTTGAGGTTAGCAACCCGATTCGTAACTGTTACACTACCAGAGCTCCATGAGTAAGAGCTGGGGAGTGATTCATTGGATGGATCATGGTTACAGGAGTCCTGGTGGCACAGTGGGTTAAGTGCTGAGCTGCTAAGTGAAAGGTCAGCAGTTTGAACCCCCTGGTTGCTCCATGGGAGAAAGATGGGAGTCTGCTTCCGTAAAGGTTTACAGACTTCGAAACTACGGTACAGTTGTCCTCATTCCTATAGGATTGCTATGCTTCAGAATTGACTTGGTGGCATTGGGTTTGGTTTAGCTTTGGGTATCATGGTTACGGAAACCACTGCTTACCAGTTTTATGTCAGATTGAATTTTACATTTACTATAAATACAGAGTTCATTATTCCCTGCCACTGATAAGTTCAAAAAGAGCATACTCTTAATGTAATGAAGACATCTTGCCTATTTTTAGTGAGTTAATTTTGTGTGCTTTGTAAACTTGGAAATTTTCTGCAGAGTGCAGAAACTGAATATGTTCTTTGAATTTGAAGTCTATCCAGGGGGGAAATTTATCTACTTTGAATGCATGTGTCATTTGCTTAAAATAGTGTCTATTATAGGTAGATTTTAATGAGTTAAAACACTGGTAATGTGGAAAGAACATGAACTCTGTTCAAGGGACCAGAATTCTTATCCTGGTTTCACCATTACGTAATGATTTTGTGAGTTTGTGCAGACTTTTTAAACTTGTTGTAGTTCATTTATCTATAGATGGCATTGCATCCAGTTGACCTACAAGGTGTTAAAGGCAGTACAAGGGGACTTCAAAAGTTCATGAAACATTTTCATTATCTTCTCATTCCGTTTTCTATAAGCTGTTTGAAGCCCTTTCATAATTCAAAGTTCAGAATTCTGCTTGAGTTTTTCCCTTTGTCTAATTCATTTATGATAGTCTGAATATATTTGACATTGGTCAGTGGAAGAAAAAAGAGCAAATAAGTTCCATGAATAATTTGGTGTTAATAATTGATGTTTGGTGATTTAGAGTGGTTCCATTGCATACAACAGGAGCTCTGATAGAATAGTGAGTTAGGAGGTGGGCTGCTAACTGCAAGGTCGGCAATTCAAATTTACCGTCTCCACTGGAGAAGGAAGGAACTCTGGTAGCGTAGTGGTTACGAATCAGGCTGCTAATCTCAAGGTCAGCAGTTCGAAACTACCAGCAGTTTTGCAGGAGAAAGATGAGACTTTCTGCTCCCGTAAAGATTTACAGCCTCGGAAACTCTATTGCAGGGTTGCTATGAGTTGGAACCGGCTTTCATGGCATGTAATTATCACCACCACCTCTTTATACAAGGGGGCATCACAAAGTTTGTGGAAAAATTCTGTGATCTTTTAGTACCATTGCCCACAAACTTTTTGAACCCCCTTCCCTCATATATTATTATAAATTAGCTGGCTTTTGAACAATAGGAAATATTTGGAGAAGGAGGATAGTGAATCTCAGTATTCAACTGTCACTATTGAGTTAACTCTATGCGTTTATTATCAACAGTGTTTCTTTTAGCATTTAATAGTACAGTTCATTGAGGTGTTATTTACTTGCAGAATATTAGTACTCAGTGGCACTTGGATATTACAGAAGTAAAAAAAGTGTCCTTCAACCATACAATATTTCCGTTTACAGATTCAGTGCTGTATTTTAATTATAGGAAACATTTTAAGAGGTTAGAGGAGTAGTATTTCAGTGGAACAGAGTATTGTGAGCTGGTTTGCAGAGTGGGTAGGATTTGAATAGAGAGAAGAGTAAACTAAGCAAGGGGAATCGGACACAGATTAAAGGATTTGGAGAGTGCGTTTACTAGAAGATTACTGTAAAGGAATGCATGGAATCAGACTAGAAATATTTGTTGTGTTATGTACTATTGAGTCATTTCTAACCCATAGTGACCCCATGTACAATAAAGTGAAACACTGCCTGGTCCTGTGCCATCCTCACAATCGTTCCTGAGTTGGCAGCCACTATGGCAGATAATCTATTTGATGATCTTCCTGTTTTTGCTGACTCTTTAGTTTATCAAGCATGATGTCCTTCTTCAGGGATGTCCCCTCCTGATGACATGCCCCAAGTATGTATATGAAGTTTCACCATCTTTCTAAAAGCATTCTGGTTTTAGAAATATTGGTGGGATCAAATTGTGGACAAGATGAAAGCTAGACTGGGTAATAAAGATACAAGATGTGTATTTTTGTATACAGAAAGAACAAGATTGAATATACTTGGTGGGGCCAGGATAATTGTGGAAATCAGATCCTTTGGAGTTGGGCTACATGGGATTATTAGAGCATACATGAAGTATTCATTTTGAATAAGCAACAGAGCCACCTTCTAGGAAGGAGGATGCAAGCAGAGTTTTACTTTGGCAGCAGTTTATTACTTGCATACACTAGGATAAGTAATTTTGAATTGGTTCCTTCTGTGATCTCTTTAACTGCTCTGCATGTAGAATTTCCTGTAGTGATACTTGCATTTCTTCTAAAGAATGTCCACCACACAAATTTTTGCAGTGAATAATCTTTGTGGTATTAATATTTTCCTTGTAGTCTTCCTTTGCTTTGTAGCAGATTCATCTATGCAAGGATTCAACTAATGTTCTTTATTTTATTTTCAGTTTGACTTTGGTTGAAAAAAGGACTTAGCCTATATGTACTTCTTGAACCACTGGAAGAATGACAGATGACAAAGATGTGCTTCGAGATGTGTGGTTTGGACGAATTCCAACTTGCTTCACGCTGTATCAAGATGAGATAACTGAAAGGGAAGCAGAACCATATTATGTAAGTATGTTGATAGTGGTAAATGGGATATTTAACTGTGAACATTTTTGAAAACAAAGCTCTTAAGAAACTGAAGTCTGTTGTCCAACATTTTATATATAACTAATATATACCTAAGGAGCTCTGGTAGCGTAGTGGTTACGAATAGGGCTGCGAACCTTAAGGTCAGCAGTTTGAAACTACCAGCCGCTCCGCGGGAGAAAGATGAGGCTTTCTACTCCCGAAAAGATTTACACCCTCGGAAACCCTGTACAGGGTCGCTATGGGTCGGAACCGACTCAACGGCACTTAACAACAACAACAATATATACCTATTATAAGGAGCTCTGGTAGCGTAGTGGTTACGAATCGGGCTGCGAACCTTAAGGTTAGTGGTTCGAAACTACCAGCCGCTCCGCGGGAGAAAGATGAGGCTTTCTACTCCCGTCAAGATTTACACCCTCGGGAACCCTGTACAGGGTCGCTATGGGTCGGAACCGACTCAACGGCACTTAACAACAACAACAACAACATACCTATTATGGAAAAAAAAAATTAGAAAACAAAGATAAGCAAAAAAAAAAAAGAGGGAAAAATCAGTAATCCTACCATAGAGAGGGAAAAAACCACTGTTGATATATTGAGACATTTTTTTGACTTTTTCTTTTGCATATGTAATAAATAATGTTGGAATCATAAGCTTTATAATGTTTTGTAACAGAAAGCTATTTTGAAAATAATAGGTTCAGATATAATTCTGCTGTATTTAGCTGATTCCAAAAAAATGTTTAGTACTTTTTATAGTTTTCATATGCTCATTGAGGCATTTTTATTATTGCTGTTGTTAAATGCCATAGAGTCAGTTCTGACTCATAGCAACCCCGTATAGAGTTTCTGAGGCTGTAAATCTTTGCGGGAGCCAAAAGACTTATTTTTCTCCTGTGGAGAGATTGGTGGGCTTGAACTCTTGACCTTATGATTCACAGTGCAGTGTTTATGCTACAGATATTAATATTATATAGATAGTATATAGTTTATCTGAAAGATAGTATAGATATTTCATGGTTAATATATATCTTTATAGTTAATATAATGTTTACAGTGTGTACGAGAGGGATTTCATAAAGTTAATGCGAAAATTGCATTCTTTTAATTACATTTTCCACAAACGTAATTTTTTTCCTGGTGGGGTTGGGTAGAAGAAAAGGGTTAGTGTTGGAACTATAGCTGGATGTAAGCTAGACGTAGGACTTTGTTTATTCTTAGGGTTATTGTTAGGACTTGTATTAATGTCAGTGGGTAAGGACTAGGTCAGGGCTAGGAATAAGGCTTAGTCTACTTATTAGGGCTATAGTTAGATTAATTTTTACTTGCTTTCTTGAAATCTACAGTATTTCATTTGAAGTTCGGTAATTACATTATTTTGTCTTTTTACTGTGTGGTTTTTTGGTCAAACCATGTTTTATTTTCTACATACTTCCTCAGATTTCCTTTTATTTCTTTATTTTAAGTTTTTATTGTGAATTTAGTGAAAGTTTACAAGTCAGATCATCAGTTTTATGCCTTGTTTCATTACAATGATTATAATCCCTTCCATGTACCATCAGATAAAAGTATTTCTCTCTTTTCACTTTAGCTCTTTTTTTTTTTAAATCATTCAGGCTTATATAATAATTTACAACACCAAAGGGCACATTCTGCAAGTCTGCTTCCTAACCACCAGCTCTTAGTCCCTCACTTCCCAATAAGTCCTTAGCTGTTCCCTCTCTCTCCATGTCCCCATCTCTGCCTCCATTTCTGGTGTTGCTGGTTCTCTGGATAAGGTCTTGCATTCCACTTGTACTCTTCTTCCATGATGGTCCTAGGGTCCTTTGTTTCTGGAATGTAAGATTAACTGCTACCCATTTTTGTTACAAAACGTCTATCTTTACAGTTATGACAATCAAAATTAGTTGTGATACCATTTACTCACTATTGAATCATAAGAATCTTATCTTATCCCCCTCTCTTTTCTAGACCTGTCTAGACAAGGTGAAAACTTTTCAGTGGGGACTCTTCCTTCCCCTGAACACTCTGATACCAAACTCCCTCTTGAAAACTTGTAAGCCGGTCACTTCATGCCTTTATTGCCCCCTCATTTTAAGTAGCCAATGTCTAAGTTGCCTGTCCCTATCTACCCTGTGTACAGAGGGGATAGCATTAATACTTGATGTGAAGATTCCTTCCTTCTCTGTTGGTATTTAGAGTTACTACCTCCATGAGTATAGGTCAAATTGTAGCAATTTACCCTTGTTTCCTGTATCAAAAAAAAAATTTTTTTTTATCTTCCTTTAGTTCAGTTCTGATTATCAAGCCATCAAGGCTAGGTTAGATTGGTACTACCTGAAAGTTTGGGTGTTCCTTTGTGTCTCCCCTCACTGCATATTAGCTGGATACTTCACTCTCAGCTCTAGTCCTATGGCTATATCCTTGTCCATGGGCTCAGGTGTCCCTCCGGTCTCACCACACTTTGGATCAACTAGCCCTTCCTCTTCTCTCTCTCATCTCCAGGTCAGTGGTTGAACTCAGCCCCTTTATGGATTTTTTTGTTGTTACAATTGTATCTCTGGTTCTCTGTTATCAGTCTTGTAGGTCTGTTTCATTTTGCATACTTCTCAGATAGCATAGTGGTTACAAGTCGCGCTGCTAATCTTATGGTCAGCAGTTTGAAACTACCAACAATTCCGCATGCAAAAGATGAGGTTTTCTGCTCCCGTAGAAAACCTGTACAGCCTCGAAAACCCTATACAGGGTTGCTGTGAGTCACAACCGACTCCATGACACACCACCACTACCACCGCCTCAGCACTGGACTGTGAGCCACAAGGATAGCAGTTCAAACCCATCCGTAGCTTCTTGGAAGCTTCTTGGAAGGGTCGCTATGCATTGGAACCAATGCTATGGCACTTAACAACAACAATATCTGGGTTGAGTCTAGGTGATATTATCATGTATGTTAGTTTCAGGTTGTTATCTGCTATTGTTGATTCTCTGTCCAAAGAGCTGCCTTTAATGTTTTTGTAAGGTTGGTGTAGTTTTTACAAATGCTTTACATTTATGTTTGTCTGAAAATGACCTAAATTTGCCGTACAATTTTGCTGGATATATGATTCTTGTTTGGCAGTTTTGTTTCTTTCAGAGTTTTATATATGTCTTTCCATTGTTTTATTTTCTTGATATGTGATCTCTTTAAATATGAAACAACTGTTACTAGCTATTTTTAATAAAATTGAAAATTATTGGGGCAACTGTTAGAGGCAAAGAGTTGTTTTTTCTTGTAGGTAATTGTTTTTACTCTTAATAATCTTTCCTAATTCATTAACCACAAGAAACTCATTTGTTATGATTTGTGCTTTTAAAGAACATCGAGTTGATAGGCTTATCATAAATAGTGAACTATAGTTTGAAACCACAAAATATAAGCTAAAATTTACTGCTTTGAGTACCTATGTATATACTCTTATAAAGTAATATTTATAAGAAGAAAATAAACAGAAACATTAATAGTGTTTAGTCTTAGAGTTCTAGATGAGCTTTTGGGTGCCAATGTCTTAGTTGTAAATTAAGCTTTAATTGCTTTCATGTGTAGTAATGGTAATGGTTTAAAGATTATGAATGAAATGCAGTAAAACTACCACAGCCTGAGAACCAGTAGACCTCTTTCCCAGACATTCTCCAAAGCTCAGCTGAGGTGGCATTAATGGGTTGTCACTGTGACCTGAAGAGTCCATTTATGCTCAGGTGGATTGCAGAAAGGATAGGTGAATGAAAATGTAGTTTAATGTGTATAATGCATATATTCTTCAAAACGGCAATTTAAAATAGCCACTCATCAAATTTATAAATTAAATATTCAAAAAGTCTTCTGGAATTTTCTGTTTCATTGTAAAAAATGTATTAATGTTAAATACATTCTTGTATTTTTCTGTATTTTGATTTGTTGTCTGTGCATAAATCTTTTTGCCACTTTCTTATATTTCTTTCATTGGGAATTATGTCTTACATTGCAGGGATTATTGGGAAGAAAATTTAAGAAGCAGGAAACTTCTTAGTTTTTTTTTTTTTAAGAGTTTTTATTGGGTATTGAGTGATAGTTTGTTTACATGGGAGAACATGGGATTTACACTCCTGTATTGTATTTCATTTCATTGTGATGATTACAATCCCCTCCATGCATCATCATTCAACATAACTTGCTTCTATTTCCTCTGTTTTTTGGATGTACACAAAAGCAGTAAGAAATATATATTCATTGAAACAGCCAAAGGCACATTCTGCAAGCCTACCTCCTGGCTGCCAGCACACAACCTGTCTCTCTCTCTCTCTTTTTTAAATTGTGAATTAAGTGATAGTTTACATGGGAGAACATTGGCTTTCCACCATCGTTTCATTGCAGTGATTACAATTCCCTCCGTGCAATATCATTCAACAGTATTTGCCTCCATTCCTGGCCTCTGTTTTTTTTGGGGGGGACAGGGGTGGGGTGGAGGGGGGACGTACACAAAAACACTTGGGAATGTATAATAATCTAAACAACCAGTGGGCACATTCTGCAAGCCTGCCTCCTGGCTGCCAGCACCCAGTCCCTCTCTTTCCACGAGTTTAGAGTCCTCAGTTGCTCCCTCTCTCTATGTCCTCATCTCTGCCTCCATCTCTGGTAATGCTGCTTCTCTGGATAAGGTCCTGCATTCCACTTGTGCTCTTCTACCTTGATGGTCCTAGGGTCCTCCGTTTCTGCACTGTATGATTAACTACTCCCCCATTTTTGTTACAAAACTTCTGCCTTCACAGTTGTGACAGTCAAAATTAGTCATAATAGCGTTTACTCACTATTGAATCATAAGAATCTTGTCCCCCTCTCTTTTCACCTGACCCATCTAGACAAGGTGAAAACTTTTCAGTGGGTACTCTACCTTCCCCTGCATACTCTGAAACTAAACTCCCTCTTGAAAACTTGTAAACCAATCACTTCATGCCTTTAT